TTATTTAGGAAGCGGTGTCTATTCAGTCTGTGAGACAGTCAGAAACAAGTATCTCTTAATAAGCCAAAGGTGTCCATTTCTTGGAGGACCCTGAGCCGCCCACCCCCTCCTTATTTCTCTAACAGGCTGTGGCTCAGCTGTTGTGTTCATTTTTATCACAAGAAGGCAAAACAATGTCAAGTGTAAGTAATGACCAGGGACCAGTAATTTGCTGAGATGGACACACAGGTCAGACAGGTCAGGGCACATTCCTGAAAGTGACGTCCTGCCTGAAGGATGGATAGCGTGCCCAGGGGCTCAGCACTCAGCTGTCTCTGGGTCAGCTGCTGCCCTCTGGCTGGAAGGCGAGGGCCAAAGCAGGTTTGGGAAATGACTCAGGTTCAGTTCATGTTGTGGTCCATCTTGTTGTATTGGCAGCCTGGAGGTTTGACCAGCTGCCCGGCTTGGCCCCTGGGCCGGAGGCTGGCTGCGGCAGGCTACCACCTGGCAGTTTGGATTTATGTTAAATTGTTCTTTAGTCCCCCTCCCCCAAACCCTTCTTGCCCAAGGGACTTTCTTTCTTTGCACAGATCAGAGTCTGGGATGACTCCAAATATTTCAGCATAGAGCCTGATACTAAATATTCTGCTCTCTCTCTTCCTTCAAAACATATTTATTGAGCATCTATTTATGCTGATTAAAAGGGATAGAGCATCGAAGAAAGAAGATACTGTCTCTGCCTCTATAGGGCTTATCTCATTGTAAGATCATATATTTTGATATAGGGTTTGGAAAATATGGTCACCTGTCACTGGCTTCACTAAAGCCTTTATAGCAGGAGTTTAGGCTGAGTTCCTTTTCTGTGGTTTCTCCTTCTTTCTAAGGCATTGGTCACTAAATATATCTTTAGGGAAAACAGCCAGAGCATGAGCCTGTAAGTACATTTTAAGCTATGAGTAAGTACATCCCAGGGTGCCTGTTGTTAATTCTGCTGCACTTCACGTAGTGATTCTGGGATGGCCTCTCTATTGGTTGTTTCCTTTTCCCTTTTGGGCAATAACTTTCTTTTCATTCCATGATTTATTAGGGCTTTTCAAGGAAATTTTGCCTCATATTATTTCAAGTCCTGGAGGTTGTTAGTAGGCTTAGAGTACAGTTTTTAAAAACTGATTTTTAAATACTAAATACCATTATAAAGAAGTTTTTAAAAACTCAACTATGGAGAATTTCAAACATAAACAAATAGAGACTAAAGTATGTAATGAATCATTGACCCTTCACCCAGCACCCCAGCAACCCTCAAGCTGAAGTCAGTCCTGTCCTGTCTACACCCCATCTACTTCCTCCACCCTGTACCCAGATGTCATAAATATTTATTTAAGAGCATTTATCTGAAAGATAAAAAACTATCTCCTAAGATAATCACAATGCTATTATCATGTCCTGAAAAGTTAATATTTATCTTAGAGGGAGATATTTTAAAGATATAAGTGGAGAAAAATTTACCAACAAATATAGTGCCAAAAATCACTCTTCATTTTTTTGTGTGTTCTGGTTTTGATCCAAAGCATACTGACATTTTGTGAAAACGATAGCACTCTCGGCTCCTTTGCAGCTTTACTGTATATCGAATGTATGATTGAGGCGAAACCATCAGTTCCCTTTTCCTCCCTCTAAGAGGAACCAAGGATGTTTCTTTCTGTTGGACCCTGTTTACATATTCTGGGCAATTCCCCAGAACCTTTTCCAACTTCCAAAGCTCCCTATTCATTCAGCAAATATTTATTGAGAAACTCATTGCGTGTCAATCACTATTAGATGCCAGCGATTATGGTGGAAAAGAAGACAAGCAGGACCCTAGACTTCTTGGAGCTTCCTGTTGATAGACGAGCAGTCCTGACACACATGACAATACTAATAGTCACTTCATTATGGTTGTGAATGTCCTGGAGACCCAAGCAGGCTGAAGGACCAGTGAAGATGTCCTTGAGGGAGGGACTGTCGGAGCACTGCAGACAGAGCAAATAGACTGTGTCACTGCCCTGGGGCAAGAGGACGTTGGCTGATAAAGGAACAGAAAGGAGGCAGTGAGGCTGGATTGGGCCGAGGCTGAGAGGACCATAGATCAAAGGAGGCTGGAGGAGAGCGTCCCCATCCTGGGCTCACCCCTTCTCAATGCCTCAGGACCCTGTGGTCTGGGCTGCCACGTGGAGATGTGAGTTCTAGCTCCCCTCCGACTCTTGGCTCTTTTGAAGGCGTTGTAGTCAAAGAAGGAGTTCACATTTGGCAAGACATGGACAGGCCCTGGAAGGCTCCACCTTGGAAGAACTAGGAATGTTTACACAGTAGGTTTATTGTGAGGATTAAAAAATATTGTACAATAAAATGGCTAAACAACAAATATTTTTCCCCTTCTCTTTCTTCATAAATGTTCCTTCTCTGTCCCTGTCGCAGTCCAGCAGCCCTTACGCTGCCTCAGGGACCCTCTCCGTGTGGGGTGGCCTGTGCTGGTGGCCCTGGCGCTCCCCTGAGGGTCTTTCATTTACACCCTGATTTTATAATAATTTCTTAGTTTTAGTTCTTTGAAAAATGAAATAAAAAGTATTAATTCAAAAATAATGCCTCTTTGGCCCCCAAAATCAAAGAGTATAAAGAAAAAAATGAAACTGGCATTACAGGCTTGGATTCCATCTTTCTAGATGTTTTATACACACAAACACACATTTTAAAAAAAAAAAAATGGGAATATGGAAATTACTGTTTTTTACTGAAGGGATCTTTGCTGTCTTTCCATGTGCCTAGCTTTTAGGTCCACGCCCCTAGAGCAGTGATTCACAGACCCTGTGTCCCCAGCCTTGTTTGTGTGTTCCTGCACGGTGGTGGCCCTCGTCCCCCCTCCAGGGCAGGGAGGCAGAGTCCGCTGAGTCCAGCCGCCTGAGCATTTTCCTGGAAGCCAGCCCACCGTGAAGCCTGTGCTCTGCAGAGGTGCATGTCACCAAAGCCGCGCGTCTGGGCGTGTTTTGCAGGAACCGGGTGGAGCTGTGCGGAAGCGCATATGCTTTTGTTTCCCGGCACCGGCAGTTTCATTAGAGCGCTTCCTCTTCCTAACTGCATGCCTGTCTGATCCCAGCCTGTCACTCCTCCGAGACCCACTCGACAGGCTGCTCACCTCAACTGGATGTACACATTCTAGGGGTGTCAGTGCCTGTGGGCCCAGGTGTGAGACTCAAGTGGAAGCATTTTCCAGACTCAAGTATAGTCACAGTTCCTCATATCCCACCTCTCCCCAGTTATGTGCAGAAGAGTGGCAAGCTGAATGTTTTATTTTCTTATTTAAAATAAATAAATATTATATATATATATATATATATTTTAATCCTCACCCAAGGATATTCTTCTATTTATCATCAGATAGAGTGGGAGGGAGGGAAAGAAACATTGATGTGAGAGAGAGACATCAACTGGTTGCCTCCTGCATGACCCCAATCAAGGCAGGGACAAACCGCAACCGAGGTATGTGCCCTTGGTCAGAATCGAACCCACGACTCTTTGGTCCGAGGGCCAAACCAACCAGGGCTGTTTACTTACTTTTTAAAAAAGCTCACATTGTAAGCAAGCAAAAGGGTGTAAAGAGAAAAATGGACAGTTGTCTTGATCTCTAGCACCCTGCACCACCCTGCTGTCCTATCCTTGGGGTCATCACTGTGGTTAGTGTGTCGTGTATCTTTCTAGACTTTTCTAAACTGTGAACGAATGAGATTATAAAATATTAGTGTTCTTCCACAAATGAATGGTTTTAAAATACAAATGGCAGTTTGATGTGTCAAAAATATTTTGCGAGTGCATGGGAAGAATGTATGCAAAGGTTTTGACCCAAAGTGTACTAAAAATTAGTGGCAAAGCAGAATGGCCATTATGGGATTTAGGCTCCCGGACTGTGTTGGTTGAAGTAGCAGGGTTCGCCCCAGGGAAAACGGGGCTCGGCCAGTTTGTCTGTGAAGTCTTGTCCCTGGTCTCGATTTTTCTCTTGACCCTTCTCTTCGATGTCGAGGCCCCTACTCTGTCCCCCTACATGTAACAAGGCCTGCGTGTGGGAGGTGTACTTAGTGCAGACAGAATTGGGCTTGAATCCAGATGTGTGACAGTTAGCAAGTCACTACGCTTCTCTGAACCTGAGTTTTCTCAGCTGTGAAGTAGAGAGGACAGTCACTATGCCAAGAGTGAAGATTAAATGTGCTAAGGGACATTTCCAGCATATAGTATGCGCTCAATACATCTAAGTTTCTTTTTTTCCTGCTTCTTAAGCCTTCATTCTAGAAAAGTATGTTAGGATCTGGACATGTTACCTCTTCCCAAGGGTATTTGCACCCCAAACTGATCACAGCTTTAACTGGAGAAATGGAGGCACAGGAAGGTTCATTTGCAGTGAAGTTGTGCCCCTCTGCCTGTTTCTGCAGAAATACTTCGTGAATAATCACAACAGGTTGTGTACTCAGCTCAGAGCTGGTCCCAGAGTCAGTCCTAACCTCAGAGGACAATTTGGCTGCCAGATGGCGACCAACATTCCCCTCTGCGTACCTTAATCTCCTGCATTTCAGGCCACATGTTTAGTGAGGAGGTTGAAGGCACACAGAGGAACTGGTATAAGGGAAGACAGCATTACCAGGATGTCAGAGTTCAGACGCTTGCTCTGGTTATTGAGGATGACACAAGTCCATCTGGCCCTTTTGTGAGAATTAGAGAAAGGCGCCCCCGCTGGGAAAATGGGGCCCTGCAGATGCACTTCTAGTTGGGTAGACAGGGCTTTGGTAGAAATTAGAGAAAGGAGATCTCTGCCTTTCAGGGTAAAGACAGGCTCTGCCCATGCCAGGTGCAACTGGTGAGCAGAGACTGGATTTCTGCTGGCCTCTCCGCCTGCGGCCGGGCACCTCAATGCGGGGCACAGCCTGCACGACTATTGCAGCTGTTTTCATATGGACTAAAGAGTCACTGTTCTTTTCTCTTTTCCTGCCCTTTCCCAGCATCCCGACCCAAGCAATGGGGAGCCAACCAGGAAACTTCCTCAGGGTGTTGTCTATGGCGTGGTGCGAAGATCCGATCAAAACCAGCAGAAAGAGATGGTGGTGTATGGGTGGTCCACCAATCAGCTGAAGGAAGAGATGAATTACATCAAAGATGTGAGTCATTGAAGGATTTTTTGTTTCTGGTTTATACTTTCTGTAGCATGTAAGAGGGTGGAGTTGGAAGCATTGATGTGAGTGTAACATGGCATTTTGGGAGAATTCTTACATTATTCAGGATAGCTATGTTTTACATATCTTTATGGTCTTGTTAAGAGTACAGATGAGCCCAGAGAGGCCCGGGTTCAGTTCCCGCTAAGGGCATGTACCTCGGTTGCAGTTTGTCCCCGGCCCTGGTTGGGTCGTGCGGGAGGCAGCCACTCGATGTGTCCCTTTCATGTCGATATTTCTCTTTTCTCTCTCTTCCTCTTTCTCCCTCCCACTCTATCTGAACAAAAAATGGAAAAATGTCCTCAAGTGAGGATAAAAAAAATGTACAGATGAAATTCTGCAGTGAGGTATAGCTTGAGAGAGGTTCTGGGTGTTACTAAGCAGGGCTACTCAGGAGACCAGTGACTTTCTTCTTTTGTGTATGATGTGGTGACTCTTAAGTGGTTTTGCTTATTATATTGTATCCTCCCAGTGCATGAGTTTGGACAACTTGTATACATTCGGATGCTTATAGATGCGGGTAACAGAAAAGCCAGTGCAGAAGGAAATTTGTCTCATGTGAGGATGAGTCCAGGGGTGGGTGGGCTCAATGCACGGCATGGCCAGGCTCGGGTCTAGTTCTCTGCCTTCCTCTGGTTCTTCCTCCTTCAGCCACAAGCTCATAGTATCATCTGAAAACAGGAGTGTCTGGAGGAAGAAAGGAAGCCACTCTTCTCTGGTCGCTTTTTAAAAGCCCTCCATTAAGCTTCTCCTGTGCCTCATTGGCCAGGACCGGGTCCCTTGCCCATTCCCAAATCCATCGTTGGCGTGGGGAATGGGGTAACTGTGGCTGGTTACGACCGAGCAGTCGCTCCCGCCTCCGCCTCCATGGCTCTGTGTCAGGGTCTGCCCGGAGCCGGCTGAGGCGGGAGTGGGGGCCGGGTGCTGGTGGGGGGCACAGGCAGCATCGGCTGTGCGCTTCTCAGGAACCTCGTGCTCACCGGGTTCTCCCACATCGACCTGGTTGATCTGGATACTGTTGATCTCAGCAACCTCAACAGGCAGTTTTTGTTTCAAAAGAAACATGTTGGAAGATCAAAGGCCCAGGTTGCCAAAGAAAGTGTACTGCAGTTTTACCCGAAAGCTAATATCATAGCTTACCATGACAGCTTCATGAACCCCGACTATCATGTGGAATTTTTCAACAATTTATATCGGTTATGAATGCGTTAGACAACAGAGCTGCCCGCAACTGTGTTAATAGGATGTGTCTGGCAGCTGACTTCCCTCTTATTGAGGGTGGACCTGCTGGTCATCTTGGGCAAGTGACTGCTATCAAAAAGGGTGTGACTGAGAGTCAGGAACGTCATCCCAAACCCACTCGGAGAACTTCTCCTGGCTGAGCAGTTCATAACATACCTTCAGAACTTGTTCTTTGCATCGTTTGACAAAGTGTTTGTTCAGCCAGCTGCTTGGGGAAGACGATGCTGATCCGGAAGGATCTCCTGACAGCTGCCCCTGAAGCTTCCGGGAACCGATGGAAGCTGAAGCCAGAGCCAGAGCAGCGAATGGAGATGCTGACATTCAACGTATTTCCTCAGAGAAATGGGCGAAATCAACTGGACATGATCCAGTGGAACATTTACCACGCCTTTAAAGATGATATCAGTTATCTACTGACAATGGACAACTATGGCAGAAAAGGAAACCTCCGATTCCATTGGACTGGGCTGAAGTACAGAGTCCAAGCAGAAGAAATCAATGCAGCAGATCAACAAAATGAACACCAGTTAGGTCTCAAAGACCAGCAGGTTCTAGGTGTAAAGAGCTATGCACATCTTTTTTCAAAGAGCATTGAGACTTTGAGAGTTCATTTAGCAGCAAAGGGGGAAGGCACTGAGCTCATGTGGGACAAGGGTGACCCATCTACAATGGATTTTGTCACCTCTGCTCCAAACCTCAGGATGCATATTTTCAGTATGAATATTAAGAGCAGATTTGATATAAAATCAAAGGCAGGGAACATTATTCCTGCTGTCACTACTATTAGTGTAGTGATTGCTGGGTGAATGGTATTGGAAGGACTGAGGATTTCATCAGGAAAAATAGACCAGTGTAGAACAATTCTTTTGACTAAACAACCAAACCCAAGGAAGAAGCTCCCTGTGCCTTGTGCACTGGGTCTTCGCAGCCCTGATTGTTGCGAATGTGCCAGCAAGCCAGAGGTGCCTGTGCTGCCGATGTCCCTAACGTGACCGTCCTCACGTTACAACATACGACTGTGAAAGGAAAATTTGCTATGGTAGCACCAGATGTCCAAATCGAAGACAGGAGAGGAACGATCCTAATATCTTTAGAAGAGGGAGAGACAGAAGCTAATAATTACAAGAAGTTGTCAGAATTTGGAATTAGAAATGGGAGCTGCCTTCAAGCAGACGGCTTCCTTCAGGACCACACTTCATCCATCAACATCCTTCGTAGTGAAGACCTAGGAAAGGAGGTTGAATTTGAAGTTGTTGGTGATGCCCCAGAACAAGTGGGGCCCAAACAAGCGGAAGATGCTGCCAAAAGCATAACCAAGGGCAGCGATGATGGAGCTCCGCCCTCCATGTCCACAGCCCAAGAGCAAGATGATGTGCTGCCATTGACTCAGGTGAAGAAGGTCCTTCAAATAGCGCGGACATTTGGGAAGAAGAGAGGAGTCGCAGAGGAAATCAGATGAAAGAGAGTATAGCAGTACAAAGAGGTCGTGCACAGAACAGACAGAAGAGCTTGATGATGGACGGCAGTGGACTGAGCAGCAGGGCCGCTAACAGAGCCTCTTACTGCATTCGGGCTCCTGGGCAGACCCAGGTTGTCTGTTATGTCCTTTGTTCAAAGGGAAAAAGTTGACACCGGTGACTTGAAGATGATTCTTCTTCTTTTGAAAGGGCTCATTTTGCTAGAACTGTTAGACACATTGAGATATGCTGTGTGGAAAGCAGGAATATCGTTTTAAAACCCCTTGGGCAAAGCGTTTGCATAATCAGTCATGAGAGGAAACAACACAATGCATGTTGCCTTTTTTTTTAATCTTCACCAGAGGATATTACGTTTATCCTCAGACAGAGTGGGGGGGGAGAGAGAGAGAGAGAGAGAGAGAGAGAAACATCGATGTGAGAGAGACACATCGACTGGTTGCCACCCGCATGACCCCAGAGAGTCGGGGATGAACTGCAACCGAGGTATGTGCCCTTGGCTGGAATTGAACCCGGGACTCCTTGGTCCGCAGACCGATGCTCTAACCGCTGAGCCAAACCAGCCAGGGCATGTTGCCTTTTAAAATGTAAATACCTTTAGGTATCATTTAATAGTTTAAAATATTGTGGTTTAGTAAAGTTGGTACCTGGTCACAAATATTATGCCTTTATTTTTGGTTAGAAAAAGAATTATTTTGAACCTAGATCTAACCATTTTCATACTCTTAACTGAAACAGATACAAAAAGTATCAAGTGCTTTGCATTGAAACTTTAAAAATATTAACTGGCACTATGTATATTGATGTAAAACAGTGTCAATTTACTAAGTATTCAGCTTGTACTGCCTGGTATATCTGTGTAGGAAGCCAATTTCTGTATTGTTACAGTTTCAGGTTATTTATATTTGATGTTTTTTGAAACAAATATGACTACATTGTACTTATGGACCAAATAAACGGCCTCTGCATGCTTGTATGTGCTTGTACGTACCTGCATAGCTCACGGGTCAGCTGCCTCGTTGGGTTTATCTGTCGTATTTACTGTAGGCATGTGAATTCATTCCTTTTAAAAAATTAACTTGTAGCCCTGGCCGGTTTGGCTCAGCGGTTAGAGCGTCGGCCTGTGGTTCTGAGAGACCCGGGTTCAGTTCCCGCTAAGGGCATGTACCTCGGTTGCAATTTGTCCCCGGCCCTGGATGGTTGTGCGGGTGGCAGCCACTTGATGTGTCCCTTTCACATCGATGTTTCTCTCTCTCTCTCTGTTCCTCTCTCTCCCCCACTCTGCCTGAACAAAAAATGGAAAAATGTCCTCGGGTGAGGATAAAAAAAAAAAAAAATTAACTTGTAATGGATGTGAAGTTAAAAGATTTCCACTGTTTGCCAGGGATGATTAATTTCTAAAATAAAGCTTTTAATGGCGGAAAATCCCCCACAAAACAGTTGGTCTGAAACAGATGCTGCGAAGTCAACCACAATAGACATTGTTAAGCTCAGTCCAGTCAATGCCATTCCTTGTATTTAATATTATATTTTTAATCATGTTTTTTTTTTTCTTTTTTTGGAGAAAATTTGGAAAACACAAAAATGTAATAAGAAAATAAAATCACCCATAATTCCAGTACTCAACCAGAGCATTTGGAGCATTTCCTTCCAAATTTTTTTTATCATCTGTCTATAATAGATCTCCATTCCTTTTTGGTTCTTTTGGTCTCTGTAGATTGACCAATGCCTCTGTTGACCAAGCCAGAGTGATGAGCTGCTGTGACATTGATGGTCCTCAAATCCTGAGCTGTGGACTAGATGTGCTCGTGAGCAGCAGGGCATTGTGGGGCCGTGGAGTACCCCATGGACCTTGGTTCAAGGTCCAGCTCTCTGTTTGGCCCAGCCAAACTTGTGCCCTCTGTAGGCTTCAGTTTTGTCATGCATACATCATGGGGCTGGGAAGGGACCCCTAAAGTAAAAACCTCCAGCCCAGCATACCCCATTTTATTTGGTGGGTTTGTGGATAAAACATGAAGTCATGTTGTCAGCTTTTGTGTGGGGTTTTTAAAAGAACATCTTATTGAATATCAAAAATAATAAACGATTTGGGTACTTTTTTTTTTAATCCTTACCTGAGGATATTTATTTTTACATTTATCTTCAGACAGAGTGGGAGGGGGAGAGAGAAAGAGAGAGAGAGAGAGAGAAAGAGAGAGAGAGAGAGAGAGAGAAGCATTGATGTGAGAGAGACACATCAACTGATTGCCTCCTGCATGACCCCAACCAGGGCCGGGGATGAACCACAACCAAGGTACGTACCCTTGGTCAGAATTGAACACGAGACTCTTTGGTCCGCAGGCTGATGCTCTAACCTCTGAGCCATACTGACCAGGGCTGGGTACTTTCTTTAATGTATCTTGAAGGTTTTGGATACTTATATAATTATAAGGAACAAAAAAAATCTTATTTTGATTAAAAAATAATAATAAAGCTTAGCAGGGAAAATAAAGAAAATCCAAAACAGCACAGGACACATGTGCCAACCACCAGCCTCAAATCCCTGGTCATCCATCTCCCAAAATATAATTTTTAATCTTTAGAGAATCTCATTCTTATTTTTCCTGTATAGGAACAGCTTGGACATTTCTTGTCTTCTGTATTTTTCTTATTCTTTAAATTTTTTTTCTTTATTACTTTTTAGAGAGAGAGGAAGGGAGAGGAAAAGAGAGATAGAAACATCAATGAGAGAGAACATCAGTTGGCTACCTCCTGCATGTCCCCCACTGGAAATCGAGTCCACAACCTGGGCATGTGCCCTGACCGGGAATCAAACCAGTGACCTCTTGGTGGATGGGTCGACGCTCAACCACTGAGCCACACTGGTCGGGCTGTCTTCTGTATTTTTCAGTGGAAATACTTACTCCTTCATTTAAATGCCCCAGATAATGTCAAATCCATCCCTGGCCTGCTCATTCCTAAGCATGTTTATGGGATTGTCGGTCCTCTCTTGCTGTGAGTGATCCTGGTCCAGCTGGCTTCCTGAATGTTTGCCACTCAGCTCAAGGTCATGCTCACCCCCCACTGGTGAGCAGCACAAGAGCCAGCTCAGGGCCACGGATGAAAGACATTCTGCCTGCCCACTGCTTCAAATACCCACCTGGCCCCATACATAATTATCATATTATTGGCTATATTCCCTATTCTGTAATCTACATCTCTGTAACTATCAATTTGTACAGCTTAATTTCTTCACCTTTTTCCCCCAGCCTCCAAACCCCCACCCTTCTGACAGCTGTCAGTCTGTTCCCTGTATCTATGAGTCTGTTTCTATTTTGTTGAAAGTATACTATTACTATAATTCATCTGGGGAAGGCTTGGCATCTTAACTGTCCCCTCCCAATCTCCACCAGTCTCCAGTCACCCCTAATAAACATACAGTCTGGTTTTCAAATGTGCTAATTCTGCAAATGCAGCTTTAAGATTACATCCCCCTATGCTGTCCCCTTCATGCCTGTGGTCATTCTAACGAAACTGCTGCCTTTGACCCTTGCTGTAGTGGAAGTTCCAGAGACTCCCTGTTCTAGCCGAAGATCTCTGAGTTCTCTCTCCATCTTAGAGGCATCAGGAGACGGGAGAAGGCAGGGACTGTAAGATTTTTTTGTTTTTATTTTTAAAAATATTCAAGGCCCCATTACTCTTCCGGAAGTACTACTGTAGAGAATCTTGAACAGTGTTTTTGTGAACAGGTGTTTTAGAGATCACCTTGACTGTTGCTATATTTAGTGGTTCATGTATTATTGGTAATTACTGAGGAGCTCGCTTCCAAATTTATGGGTGGTCCAGGGTTCATACTTCCCTGCATTATATTCCAGACATTTAATTGCTCTTTGGCAGGCAGAGCAGAGATAGGGAAAATTGGGGGTTGCTTTTGCTTGTCGATCCTTTCATCCATGAGTTTGCAGTGAATTTTTAAAAATTTTCTACTTATAAAAAATGTGTGATGGGAAAAGGGCCAAACTTTTCCTGAATTCTGGTTTTGAAGGCAATGGGTGCTTTGTTGAAACTAAAGCATTTTTCCTTCAGAGTTTATTATTTGGATAATCAATATTTATTAATAATGATATAATCATAATATGCTTTTATCAATAATAATATAATTCCCTTGGTTTCTAACTAGGTACCAGGAGTGATCTTATTCCTTAATTTCCCAGATTGTCCTGTTCTTAAGATTTTTTGTATGTGTGGAGGCCCTTTTCTCATCAGGGTTTCTTAAAAGATTTGGAAATCTTGCATGAAAATGTTGTAGCTTGTTCTCTAACCAGCATCTTTGTGGACTGCAGGTGAGAGCCACTTTGGAAAAAGTGAGGAAGCGAATGTACGGAGACTATGATGAAATGAGACAGAAGATTCGACAGATCACCCAGGAGCTGTCAGTAAGTCAGGGTCTCTGTGACCTGGGAATATGGAGGGATGACAGAGCTTGGAGCTCCCTCTCGGTGGCTGGTGTCGGAGATACTTGAGTTTATGATATTCTTTATGACTGGAATCATATTTTAAATGAACTGGGGGAATTTTATTACAGAGTAAAGTATATTATTTAAAGGATTTTTATTTTTGTAGGATGAGTATTATTCCTTAAATCAAAGTATTTCCTCCAAAGTCAGGAACAAGACAAGGAAGCCAGCTATCATGATATGAATTATTGTGTCTGAGGTGCTAGCCAATGGAATTAAACAAGAGAAATAAATTTAGAGGTATAAAAACTGGATAGTAGGTATAAAACTATCACTGTTTATAAACTATATGATTATATACCCAGAAAGCCCAACTGATCCAATGAAAAAACTAAACAATAAAAGAATTCTGTCAAGTAGCAGGGTAAAAAATTAACCTTTTATACTTTTTAAATGTTTGAACTATGCGACTGTATTACCTACTCAAAAATTTAAGAAAAGACAACTTTCTCTGATTTAACCAAGCTAATGCTTGTGAGAAAAAATTAAAAAAAAAAATATATTTGTGATGAATAATCTTGAATGTCTATGACATACTCTCCAAGAGTTAATAATTGCAGGTCAGGAGCACAGTTACAACAGCCATGCATTAGAGTTTCCTCTGTGGCTTGGCTGTGAGATTATCAGCTTAAGTAAGACCGGCCTTGATTACAGGGGCAGGGGTTTATAAACATCTACCCGGCCCATTCTCCCTGGCACGCAGGAGGCGCTTTGTGAAATTCTTACCTACTGTGGAAACTCAGCTATCCAGTGACAGACACTAACAACTTTAATTAATATCAGATAATGCATACATAAACAAGTCTCTGCACACCCTTGTTTTCTCAAGCTCGAACTGTCACAGGAGCTCTGCCTGTAGTCTCCTCCTCCAGGCCACACCACACACTGCAGCCAGACTGATTGCCAAATTACTGCTATGTGAGCACGCCCCTGAACAAGAACGCGCCACCTGTTCCGGGTCCCAGACTGCTGTTTCAACTCTCCCATCCCCAGGGGGCACCTCCTTCTGCACTGTGCCTGGCTGCTTTCTGTGGCTCTCACAAGGGCGTACCCTTGAGCCTTCTCAGAACCCTTCCCCTTTGCTCTTCTGCCACCCTGCCTCTCTGTTGCCAGCCCCTCTTAAGGTCTAGCTCAAGACTGGTCTCTGATGAACTCTTTCAAATGCATCAAATGCACACACCCTACAAAGACAACACAACAGCAGCAGCAGCCACAAAACAACTCTTGAGAATTAGGTGAGCCCAAAGTATAGTCTTTCTACGGTGGGTAGAAAGAACAAGAAGGCACAAGAAGATATTCCAACTGTGTTTAATTCCAGCTGTGCCATTTCTTAGCTCTTTGTGTGCAAACCCTTTACCTTCTCTGATTCTGTTTCCTGCCCACAAAGGGCAGTGTCTGGCTGCCACGTGGTGGTGGTGTGAGGACTGAGGCCCCGGAGGTGAATGTGTAAAAAATGATCCAAAGGAAAAGTACTCGTCTTTCTGATCTCTGGGTCATGCAGATGTTGACCTTTCACTTTAAAGCTGTACATGAAATATTGAAGTGGGTGTGGCTACTATCAGGAGACAGTTCCAGCCTGAACAAAGATTATTGGGGGTTTTGGATTGGTTTTGTGTAACTGTCTCTTCAATCTGTCCAGGTTTCACAGGCTCAGAAGGACTATCTAGAGAATCACATCCAAACACAGTCGTCAGCCCTGGACAGCGTTAACGCCGTGAGCTCAGCATTGGCGTCAGACTCCATTGACCTGCAGGTATTCCTCTGCTCACTTACGTGGGGTGCAGCCAGCCTAGCCAGGAGTGGGCCCTGCGAGTGTGTCACAGGGTGTCCTCAGCTCTACTCAGAGCCCTGTGAAAAATGGCCCCAGTGAAGGCTGTGCTGGGAAGACGGTGGAGGAGGCTGAAGGAGGCGCTTCCAAAGGGAGACTGTAAACCTTTGTGTTGCAGTTGTTTTGCCCTCGTTAAAATGGGGGCTCAGATTCTGAGTTCCATGCTGGGATGTCACTTGCTCCCCTGGATCCCCAGGTGGTCTTAACTGTCAGTGTCCAGCACAGCACGTCGGCCCCAGCCCCGCAGCCCTGGTTTACAGGAAGGCCCAGCCAGGCGCAGAACAGAAGGCCCCCGTGTTCATCACTGGCAGTGACTCCCAAAGGCTGTGAAGTAATTTTTCTTAATTGAGAAATTATTTTGCCTTAAAAGAAGTCACATGCATTTTTAAGACTCTCTGGTCGTACCAGACAGGGAACAGAAAGCCTCAGGGTCTTACATGTATGCAAGTGTGTGTTGTCCGCTCCTCTGAAGGGGCTTGCGCTTCTGATTCATTGATGTGCTGGAGTGTACCCCTCAGATGCTGCCCATTGCTGTTCTTCCAGCTGCGTTCCCCCGCCCCCCTCACAGGCAGACTACTTGTCAATGTTAGTTTGTTTCTCCCGAAACAGCCTCCCTTGGCTTTAGTTTCCAAACATGGGAACAGTAGTTTCTGCCCCACCTCCAGCTTTATCTGGCTCTTATCTTTTTACCCTCCTCTTGAAAGTTCCACAGGCCATTTCACTTCCTTTCTGGTTCCATACAAATAATTGACCAGAAAAACAAATGCATTTTCATGTTAGGGTTATCCACTTCCCCAGAACCTGGTTTTCTCTAATAAAAAGTGTTGGGGCAGCAGCGCCACCAAGCAAGCCAGGCCACTGGCCCACAGCGGGCCTGGGTGCGCCCCTGTTTGGATTTGTCTGGGAGGCCCATTTCTGGTGGGGCCCCCGCGTCCCACCCTCTTCCTGGCTCTGCACAGTGCGGGCCAGTTTCCCCTGGCCGCAGGCCGAGCACCACTCCATTCAATAGGCTTTGTTCTCCCTGACTCCTGCCGTCATGGGCGCCGGCCAAGGCTCCCTTCCTTCCCTCCTGGACATCTCACTCCTGGCCAACTCGGAGATGCTGGTACCCCACCTGAGTCCGCACCTGGCTGCTATCTGTACTAAATGTCTGGGTTTTCTTTCCCGTGATACTTCTGACCGACACTCCCGGCATTTATTTCAGAGCTGTTAGGACAGGGTCAACTGTTACTCGGGTACCCTGACTCATTCCTAGTTATGGTCCAGCTGCTTAGTCCTGGGCAAACAGAGGAGCCTTACCAGGAAAAGATTACAAACCATTGTTAAAAAGGAGAAGGAGAAGAACTGGAGGAAGGGGAGGAAAAAGAAGGGGGTAGGAAAAAAGTCGGTAAAGAGAGGTACCATCTCACAGGCAGGAAACTCAACTGAGTCTGAAGGTAGTTGGCTTTTGATTTCTGCAAGGCCCCTACCTCTTGTCCATTCTACCCATCCTCATTATTATGTACGGCCAGACCGGACCTTGGTTTGATGTCACAGAATGTCAGAGCTGGAATCTACCCATCCTCATTATTATGTACGGCCAGACCGGACCTTGGTTTGATTTCACAGAATGTCAGAGCTGGAAAGAACTGTTGAGATGATCTCCATCCCTCCTTGTTTCATGGATAAGCAGATTGAGGCCAACAGAGGGAAGTGACTTTATCAGGGTGTCTAGCTAGTGACAGAGCCAGGACCAGAACCCTGGTCTCTTGGTCCAGTGATAGGTTCCTGAGCACAAGAGTAGTATCCATCAAGACGGTGGGGCCGGAGGGGTGGTTGGGCCCGGCGGTTCCTGTAGCCCCTCGCAGCTTCCCTGTTCTGTGAGTCCATTTTCCAGTGGCTCCCGTATTTATTGCCATTGAAAATTCTTTCTCTGGTTCAAATATGTGTAGAAATGAGGCTTTTTATCCAAGATGGAGGCTAAGGATTTGGGGGAGCTTTAGAGACAGATCATCTACAAAGAGGACAGAGATGTTAAAAAGTGTGTCCAACACCAGAGTTTCCAAATCTTCTGATTTAAAGTTGTAGATGACTGGGGAGGTGGTAGAAGGCGCCTGGAACCCAGTCTCCAGTGGTAGGAATTCGGGGCTCTGGAAGCCGTTTCTCTGTAAGGAGAGTTGACCAAGTAGAAGCATGAAGTAGCAGCACATTCATTTGAACATTCTTGCTCCAGTGGGCGGCCTGGAGCAATAAACAACAGGCTCAGGCACTCATCTGAGTCACCAAACTGTTCCCTGGTGCTCCCTCATCACCACCCTCCTCTGCCCGGGGAGGAAGGCGAAGCATTTGCGGGCGTTACAGCCACCCCGGCCGCGCTGTCTGTCCTGACAAGCGGTCTAGTGAGAGTCCCTACGAGAAAAAAAAGGAAAACACCTCTATTCTACAACACACATTTTGTCTTTGTGATTTCATTGTGGGAATTTGCAAAGTATAGAAAACACAAAGAGGAAACTAAATATCATCCATAATCCTGTCACCAGGGAAAACCATGATTTGGATTTTGGTGAATATCTTCCTAGTCTTTAAAAATGTTCTCTGTATAAACACCTTTGAACAAATGCTTGTACGTTTTTTCAAAACGAGGTTGTTCTAGACTTACTGTCTTCAAACCCAGTTTTTTCCAGGTGGAATGGTGGCTCATGAGCACTTTCCCTGGGAAAGCCTCCGTTTTATTCCACTTCCGTCCATCCTGACAGCGGAGGCGGCATCGGAGAGCCGGGGTATGGGGAGGTTCTCGAGCACCGTGGGGACCCTCAGCCCCGCAAACACCAGGGTCCGGGTTTGTGTCTCGGTGGCCTGACCTCGACCTTAGTGGCTGATGACAGAGATGGGGTGCGTGACTCTGGTCATGGTTTTTCACACCACGAGGTCTGTTTTGTTATTTTTACCCCATTAGAAAACACTTGTGGATGTTACTTTGGAAAATAGCGACATTAAGGATCAAATCAGAAATTTGCAGCAGACGTATCAAGCGTCCATGGACAAGCTGCAGGAAAAGCAGAGGCAGTTAGAGGCAGCGCATGTTGAGAACCAGCTACTGAAAATGAAGGTAAAGTATGGGGAGGGGGCACGTGGATTTCCTACTGACTTTTCTTTCCTTCTCTCTCTCCTCCCATCTTCAACTCTCTCTGTTCTCTTCTTCATTGAGTTGAATTTTCTCACCCTTTTATGGCCAACCCCACAGGGCTTGGCTTGAAGCCACTGAGGAGCCTTCTGTGCTCACAGCTGTCAGTGCAGGTTGGGGGTGCCCCATAAAACCCCTGCTGGGGCTCTGCCTGGGCCCCGTGGCCTCCAGGGCTGCTGAGACAGTCACCGTGGCACTGCTGTTACTTACGGGGAGACCCGTGGGATGCCCACAGTGCTGCGACTTCGGCAGCTTCCCTGTTCAGATGTTCTCTGAGGCTCAGGCCTGTCTGTGGGTTTGACAACAAAGAGCCGAAGGGCACACAGAAAGGAAACCGATGGGTGACCAAGCACTCTGGCCAGTGTCCCTCTTGCTCGCCAGGTGTCCTTTGTTCCACTGCTGGGCCCCTGATGCCCTCCCAAATGTGAAACATGGGTAGCTTTCCCCCCCATGGCAGGAGTAGGCCCACGCATGTCAGGCAGAAGGCACTCGGCGAATTATTTCTGAATGAATTCATTTTTATTTAAGTCTGTGGTTTTCACACTGTAAACAACTCAGCCTTATGCTGTCCTAGAGGAGAGGGCCTTCTGGGTAGTGATCCCGGTAACGTATTGCTCAAACCCAGAATATATCTGGGAGTGAATGGGGGTGCTATTAAGAACTTAGGGGCCCAGCCGGTGTGGCTCAGTGGTTGAACGTTGACCCATGCACCAAGAGGTCGCCAGTTCGATTCCTGGTCAGGGCACATGCCCAGGTGTGGGCCTGATCCCCAGTGGGGGGCATGCAGGAGGCAGCCAGTCCGTGTTCTCTCTCGTCGATGTTTCCACCTCTCTCTAAACGCAATAAAGAACATAAAAAAGAACTTAGGGGAACAGCCCTCCCTGTGGGCTGCTCAGATGGGGAGGAGGGCAGACTGGTCCCTGTGATCGCCGCCCCATGGGGCTGTGCGGGCCCCGTCCGCTCGGCCACACAAGACTCCCTGGGGGGGGAGGGGGAGCAAGGCCACCGGGCTCCTGTCTGCTTCCACGTCAAACACAGCAGCTCTTCTTTTTATTGTTCATATATTATATTTCCGAGCGAGAGTTACTTTGAAAAAAAGGGGTGCGTGTCTGAAGAAGTCTGCGATGACTGTTTGAAGTCTTTCCCTGGGCTTAGGAGCTCTGGCTGGTCCTTCATTCCACAAATACAGTGTGGGGCAGAGTAGGTTTACATTGTGAGTACGTGAAGCAAGATTGATTCTTGTATATTATTTATTAATTATTGTGATATTTTCCACACAGACAACGGTAAACCTACCTTTGTCCCACCCTGTACTGAGCGCCCACTGTATGTGTCTGTCCTGGACACTGCTGCTGTCCCGGGTGGGCACAGTAGACAGTCTGGCAGTCTGGCTCCTTCCAAGGAGACCAAGCCCCTAGATCCAGCCTACAGTTGCCTGTTTTAGAAACTGATGCTTTACCCCCAAAATAAATAAAAAAGTGATAGGACTCAGAGTGTTTCATGTGACCTGGATGCGGAGGACACGGGACCGGAGGGACAGAGCCCTCTCTGGAAGTGCATGTTTGCCGTGGAAATGGGTGCAGGACGCCCCTCGGCTGATGGCAACCTCTGTTCAGGGTTTTCCGTTCTGTGGGTCTGGGTACCAGAGCGTGCCTAGTGATGAGAGGGAGAGTTAGAGGGCCCCTTGGAAGTAAACGTCACGTAGCCTAGTGAGGTTGAAGCACTCCTCACTTACCCAGCGCTACGTAGGCAGCAGACTCCGCGTTCGGAACAAGCAGTGAGCTAGAAGGAGGGGACACAGACACACCTGCAGCAGCATAAAGTCAATGGCACAAAGTCCACAGGCAAGGACAGGGCCACCTCCGCCCTGAGCCCTCCCCACCCGCAACTCCACTGACTTTTCCTCATCTCCCGAGCTGGATCAGCCCGTTGCCCAAACCAGGTGGGAATTTTTCCAAATGCAACGTGTGGGAAAGCACAGAGGTGTGGAAAGGATGAGTCCAAATTTTATAGGAGTTTGTCCTTCCTAGTGATTGATTGGCTATTGCAGCCAATGGGACAGCTTCAGCTCCGTGTGGGCACTTTCTCTTCAAAGGCCTCCCTGCTTTTCTGACATAATTTTTTAAAAAAGTAATATTGGACCTAAGGAGGAAAAGTCAGACAATACGAAAGGTGATCTGCAGCTATGCCTGCACCAGTTTGCATTCCCACCAGCAGTGGAAGAGGGTTCCAGTTCCTCCACATTCGCCAGTTGTATCACTGAGACCGTCTTGCCCATCACCATCCCTGTGCGTGTGAGTGGGTTCTCACTGTGGGTGTGCAGTGCCTGCTCATGAGTGGTGTTGAACATCGTTTCTTGTGCTTGTAGGTCATTTGTGTATCTTCTTATGGGCCTTTGACCATTATTAAATTGGGTTATTTATATTATATTGTTGAGTTGTAATTATTCTTTATATATTCGGGTTACAAGCTGTTAGATATGCGATTTGTAAATATTTTCTCACACTCTCCCAAATATTTTCTCCTATCAGTTTCTTTTTATTTTTTGTATCCTCACCTGAGGACATTTTTCCATTTTTTTGTTCAGAGGGAGTGGAGGGAGAGAGAGGAAGAGAGAGAGAGAGAAACATTGAGATGAAAGGGACACATCGAGTGGCTGCCACCTGCATGACCAACCAGGGCCGGGGACAAACTGCAACCGAGGTACACGCCCTTAGCGGGAACCGAACCCGGGTCTCTCTGGACTGCAGGCTGATGCTCTAACCGCTGAGCCAAACCGGCCAGGGCTCCTATCAGTTTCTCGATGGTATCCTTTGAAGCACAGAAGTTTGTTTGTTTGTCTTTTTGAGTTAAAGAAATTTTATTCTACTAGTTAGACTTACAGTGCTTGTTTGTCGAAGCCCAGAAGTTTTTAGCATTGAGTACTGAGGAAGTGTAACTCATATTTGGTCACCTGTGCTTTTGGTCTCATATCTAAGAAACCACTGCCTAATCGAAGGTCACAAAGACTTCCCTTGTTTTCTTCTAACAGTCCTGTGGTTATAGTTTTTGCCTGTAAGCCTTTGATCTAGTTCAAGTTAAGCTTTATATATGGTGTGTTAGGGACCCAGTTTTATTCTTTTTCACATGTCTATCCAGTTGTACCAACACCATTTGTTGAAAAAACTATTCTTTCCCACTGAGTAATCTTAATTGGTAATTTTTATAACAGGTAAATTATTTATTTGGTTTCAAGTCATTGCTACAAAACAAAGTATATTCAGAAATAGAATATTTATATCTGTAATATATATATTTCTTTTCTTCCTCCTACAGATAACCTTTTTATTTAATTTTATAGTTTATTCTGCTCTGACCCAGTTCTAATAATATAGTGGTCTTATGTCTCAGCCCACAATAGAATAGTCAAGGATTAAAAAAACACATATCTTTCTGGGGCCAATTAGGATATGGACCTAGTATCCAGAAGAAAAAGTTTGTTAAAATTGATAGACTAGCCCTGACCAGTTTGGCTCAGCAGTTTGAGTGTTGGCCCGTGAACCAAAGAGTCTTGGGTTCGATTTTGACCAAAGTCATGTACCTGGGTGGTGGTTCATACCCGGCCCTGGTCGGGGTCATGCGGGAGGCAACCAGTTGATGTGTCTCTCTCACATCAGTGTTTCTCTCTCTCTACCTCTCTCCTTCCCTCCCATTCTATCTGAAGATAAATGGAAAAATATCCTCGGGTAAGGATTAAAACAATAACACTGATAGAATAAAAAATGATGAAATTTCAAGATCAAAAGAACATTAGACAGGAAAAGTTGAAGGAAGGAGTTTGATAAGACAGTGGCACATGGCCACATTTTAGAGAGAATTCAATTTAAAAATGGCTAAATTTGCCCTGGCCGGTTTAGCTGAGCCGTTAGAGCATCAGCCTGTGGACCAATGAGTCGCAAGTTTGATTCTGGTCAAGGGCATGTGCTGTACCTCAGTAGTGGTTTGTTCCCGGCCCTGCTCGGGCCGTGCAGGAGGCAACCAGTGGACGTGTCCCTCTCACGTCGATGTTTCTCTCTGTCTCTCCCTCTCTCTCCCTCCCACTCTATCTGAAGATAAAATGGAAAAAATATCCTGGGGTGAGGGGAAAAAAGGGCTACATTTGGGGGGCCAGTTTAATGCTTAGGTAAGTTTTCGCCTTTTGAAAAACGCACTCATGTGGAATGCCTCTTCCTGATCGCGTGGAGTAAGTCAGTACAAAGTGCCACTTTCTGGTGTCTCTGCACCTCTTCTCCCCGCCTCTGCCCCTGGCCCTGGGCCTCGGTCCCTGCTGCCCCTGTCTGCTGAGCCCTGGTTGGAGGGCTCCCTCCTGTGCGCCACGCCTGATACTCGGGTGATGCCCAGCCCCTGCGACAGCTGTCCTCCCAACGTGTCCCGTAGGTGGAGTCGTCGCACGCAGCCAACGCTGAGGCCATGCGAGAGATGACGCGGAAGCTGTACGGCCAGTACGAGGACAGGCTGCGCGAGGAGCAGCGGCGGCACGGTGCCGAGAAGGAGGCTCTGCTGGTGCGTCCTGCTGGGGGTCGGTGTGGTCGCTGTCCCTGAGGTCCACGCGGGGGGGCCAACTAGGCTCATGTGTGTGGGGGAAGTAACGGTCATTCATCAGTAATGATACAAGAATAAGCTCTGTGCTTCACGTACCACAACTGTAACCCTGCTTTCGCCCCACCCTGTGGCCGGTGTCTGCTGGCAGGTGAGTTAGTGGGCTGACCGCTGGTGAGGGGTCAAGGAGTTTATTGTTCACTCGTTCACTCCCTTCCCTTTCCCTCCCTTCCTTGTCCCCTCTGCTCAGAACAGCCCCCGGTCTCCAGCTCTCAATACCCCCCTTTCTCTAGCTAATATGACCATTTGCCAGCACCCAAGCAGGTCCTGGGCTCACTGCAGCTGTGTCCTCCCCCTCCGCTTGCTCCTCTCCGCCTGTCCTCGCCCCTGCCTAGGAGCGCTGAGGTGCCACCGGCTGCGAGGTGCAGTCTTCCCCAGTCCCGCAGCCAGAGTCCTTGCCCCGGGCAAGCCCACTCGCTCTCCCGCTCCGCCGTGGCCTTCCCTTGTGCCTGTGGTTAGTTGAGTGGGGCTGTGTCTCACATCTCGGCTCCCCTGGGACAGCATAAGTCCCTTGAAGGTGGGGACCCCCCGTCTGCCCTACCCTGTGCCTTTGTAGGTATGATCAATGTGCCGCAGGCTGGACGGAGCGGGTGCTGGGCCGTAAGGAGGACGATGCGTCCTGCACTCGGCTCCAGGTCTGGCTCGATCCCCTGTCCGTGGCGTTGACATTCTGAGCATCTGGCCAAGCGATAAATTCACAAGCTTATTTTAGACATAGGGACTCAAGGGAAAAAATAACTAGGCTTATTAAAAAGCCGTGCGATGTGCCTTTATTGACAGATGAGAACCAGAATCACGGGAGTTGAGTTCGTGATCTGTGAGACACACCTAGGCCCCAAGGTCATCGTTTACAGAGGCACTGTGACTTAGCAAGCCCCTGGTTGGTAGCCTAGGGACTCCTTGACTCTGCTGAGGGGAGTGTGTTGCTTTTGCAGGAGGAAACGAATAGTTTTCTGAAAATGATCGAAGAAGCCAATAAAAAGATGCAGGTGGCAGAGATCAGCCTAGAAGAGAAAGACCAGAGGATTGGGGAGCTGGACAGGCTGATCGAACGCATGGAAAAGGTAACAGACACAGTTCCTGTCAGTTGCCACTTCGCAGATGCCCCTGAGTCTCCTCAGTCCGCTGCAGGCCTATCCAGAGGTCTGAGGTGCCCTCCGCTCGGACATCTCAGCCCTGCAATCGGGGGGTTAAAAAAAAAAAGACCAAACTGTCAAAGTATGAGGAAGCCCAAGAAAGTTCTAATTTTTCCATGGTGACTGTTTTGATGCTTTAAAAAACATTACATGTAAAATTATTTACAAAAATGAATATTTTAGCAGCCCTGCTTTGCTGGGGCCTCAGGCATGAACTTAGTTTACTCGTTGAGTGGTTGAGTCCTATTTAGACGACACATCTACACCCCAAGCCTGTGTTTCTGTGGTGTGCATCTGAAAGGTTGGCTTCTCTCTGACATGCCACATTCAGAGTAGGGGACACCTCATTTCTCTGTGACTGGGGATAGGGTGATGTGTGGGGAAGGCAGGAGCTCAGCTGGGATAATGAAGCTAGCCTAGAGAAAGGCGGGAGGCCAGAGATCAGGCAGGAAGTAGAGAAAGGGAAGAAAGGGCGGAGAGAGGAAAGAAAGGAAGGGAGGGAAAAAGAGGGGAGGGTGACCTTTAGCAGGTGACAGCTGACTTTTGGGGAAGGGGTGGTAGCCGAGGGCCAAGTCTGGGTCTGATTTCTGGAAAATGATTCTCTAGCTGCATTTGAGTTTGCAGAACAGTGGTGACCTGCCACAACCGTGACATACTAGCCCCCTGAACTCATGCTAGGTGCTGAGATGCTCTAGGTCGATGATGGAGGGAGGGGAGATGACACATCGATTGGCTGCCTCCTGCATGACCCTGACCAGGGCTGGGGATTGTACTGCAACCAAGCTATGTGCCCTTGACCAGAATCGAACCCGTGACTCTTTGGTCTGAGGACTGACGCTGTAACTGCTGAGCCAAACCAGTCAGAGCTGGTCAGTAACAATCTTTTAAGGAGTGTGTTCTCCAGACCAGCTGGTGTGGCTCAGTGGATTAAGCAGCGTCCCATGGACTGAGAGGTCCCAGTTTGATTCCCAGTCAGGGTATATGCCCGGGTTGGGGGCTCGATCCCCAGTAGGGGGTGTGCAGGAGGCAGCCAATGGATGTTTCTCGCTCACATCGATGTTTCTGTCTCTACCTCTCTCTCTAAAAAATCAATAAAAGCATATTAAAAAAAAAAAAAAGAGTACGTTCTCCCTGGGACCCTTCTGCAGAGTAGATCATGTTCTACGCCTTGATCTGGGTGGTGATTTTGCCAGGTAATCAGGTGTATACAAATATATAAGAAATTGTTGTGTGATGTACACTTAGATTTGTTTTACCTCAATTTAGAAAAGTACCAAACCTTTAAAGTGCTATAAATTAGGCCTTAACAGCTCTGGCGGGGGACGGAGGGGGTGAAGGGCGGCTTACTTGTGAAAGGTGCATCGCTGTTATTTCAGGGCTAATGTAAACTTCCAGCCAGTGCCTACCACGGGGGGCGAGGGGTCATGCTGCCCAGGCTGGGCGGTCGGAATGGCATGCTCTGTGCAGCTTGCGAAATAAGAACAAAGGCCCAGCCAAAGCCGGCCCTCCTTTATGACTGAGTACTTGGATGGTAGGACACTCTTCCTGCAGGTGGCTGCCCCCACTCGTGGGTCTGCTCCTTGGGGTGCCACGGCTTACAGCTTCAGAAGCTGTGGGACTAAGATTTCAAAGATTTGCTTTTAACAATTTGGCAGAAAAGAGGTTTGGAATTTATAGAATGAGTGAGAGTTTATAGGGGAGCATTTCTGAGAATACGGCTGAGCACAGTAGTACTTGGGGGAGAGGGATAGTAAGGTGTGTGCTCCCAGTGAGGGAGCAGAGGTGGCGAACTTCATTTTCAGGAAAATGTACGGCACCGGCGTCAGGAATGTATCTCTAGTATGGTTTCAGTCACCATGAGCACTGTGCTTTTATGAACGTTTCCCACTCTCTCCATTGAAATGATTGTCCAGATTCTACATTGTTTTTTGCGGGTAAACTTCTAACTTGACACAGAAACAGCCAAGTTTGCACAGCTTGAAGTCTGCGTCAGTTTCCCGCTGCTGCTGTAACAAATCACCGCGGTTAGTGGCTTAGAACAACGCACACTTACCCTCTTACTGTTCTGGAGGTGAGAAGTTCTGCAATCAGTGTGTGGACTGGGCTGGATTCCGTCTGGAAGCTCCAGAGGATAACCACGCCTGCCTTTCCTAAGTTCTCGAGACCCTTATGTTCCCGGACTCGAGGCCCACCCCATCTGTGAAGCAGCTGGTGGTGTCCAGTCTGTTTCTCTCTGACTCACCCTCCTTCCAGTAAGGGCCCAACTGGATAATCCAGGGTAGTTTCCCCACGAACTTAACCACATCTGCAAAGTTCTTTTTTCTGTGTGAGGCAACATATTCTCGGGTTCCAGGGATGAGGATGTAGCGTGGTCGGGAGGCATCGTTCTCACCAGCACGGGAGGTCTTCACAGGTGAGCACACCTGTGTGAACACCCCCAGGCTTGGGTATAGACTCTTACCTGAATTCCAGAGCCTCTTTTGTGGGTAACACAGAAAACAATCAAGAACTTTGCAGTATTGCAGGCCACTGTTAGAGTCGCAGTGATCGTTATTTGGAACTATACATCTCACAGCCTCTGAGCCTCGCCTGCAGAACCCTTTGTATGGCTTTATCCAGGGTGTTTGTCTCCCTGCAAACACACACCAGCACATGTGGCACTTTTGAGCTTTGTTTACACTCTGGTGAGTGGGTGTTTTACTCACCCATTGGTAGTGACAGAGACATCCATCTCTGTCCAATTTGGTTTAATCCACTGATAAAAAGGTCAGCGTCTGTCGTTTCAGGAACGCCATCAACTGCAGCGACAACTCCTAGAGCACGAAAGAGAAATGTCCGGGGAGATGACTGCTTCTGACGACGAGAGGTAAGATGCCATGCCCTGCACCTGTACTGGATTCCGATGGCGGACGCACGGTGTGTGGGGGGGCTCCCACGGTCCGTTCCTTTTCCACTCATCTGAGCATCTCTTACTGCAGACGTACACGTGAGAAAACATTGCTCGAGAGCTCCCAGTGTGGGGCTGTCTCTGTGGGAGCTTTGCAGCCACCTCCCACAGCTGTGGTTAGTTCGGTGGGACACACTTTATTATTATTATTTTTATTGAGTTTTAGAGACAGGGAGGGAGAGATAGAAACATCGATGAGAGAGAACATCGATTGGCCACCTCCTGAATGCCCCCCACTGGGGATCGAGCCTGCAACCTGGGCATGTGTCCTGACCGGGAATCGAACCGGCGACCTCTTGGTGCGTGGGTCAATGCTCAACCACTGAGCCACACCGGCCAGGCAGTGGGACACACTTTAATCTTGCACTGTCACAAGTGCAAAAGTTCAGTCTTCCTCTGCTCTTTGTAACCTCGAACTCCACAGGATGCACCTTGTTTTGATGAGAACACATTGACTGTGACTATACCGTTGCCACGGAAACGAATTGTAAAATGTCTTTGTTTCCAAACATTGCTCAGTCGCCCCTTCCCTGTCCCCTGTCTCCGAGTGTATGCGACGCTGCGTAGAAATGCGGAAGTAGTACATGGTCTCTTCCAGAAATCTGAAGGCCGAGAGGCCATGCACGGCCTCTATTGAGGGAGAGTGAGGTTGGGACGATTTGAGCAGTTGGGGCAGGTCACCTAACCTCCCTGAGCATTTGCTTGTCTGGGAAGTGGGGATTCATCTGTAAAGGAGGAGGGGGTTATGATGGTCACAACAGCACCCATCTCATGGGTTATTATTATTCAGGAACTGTTGGACATCCTGCCTGCCACATAGTATCTGCTGAAAAAATACCTGTTTTCCTTCCTCTTATGCAACTTCAGAGCCTGCAGGGAATAGGAGACTTCCCTGGTCTGTCGTGTAGTGTTGCGGAGGGACCTGGCAGAGATGGGAAGTGGTTAGCTCCCCACAGACCCGTCATCAGTGCTCAGATCCCGTGGCCCCTGAGAACTGAAGAGCTGTCTGCTGCTTCCTTTGGCTGCTTTGAAAGCAGCTACATCAGAGAGTAATTTTTGCTGTCTTAAAACCAAAGCATGAAATGTTTTACAATGTAGTTCACTCTATTTTGATGAAGAGAAGGACTTTCAACGTGTTTTCCGTTGTCCCAAAATAATCACATATAGAACAGTGATAATTCCAGACTTCCCGGGACTCTGTTGGGAGCTCCGATTTCAGATATTTTATGTGTTCCTAGATGCCTCTCTTCTGTTCTCCTAATCAAGGTAATTTACGGGATGTTCCAAATTGTATTAACTCCAAAACAGAGAGCCTCTTCTACCCGTAAATGGTACCAACACCTACTCTCCCAGTGCCCGGAAAGTGCAGTAACGATCCTTATTCAGGGTAAAACTTACAAATGCGAACTTGAAAGAGTCCTGTTTCTTCGATGGTGGAGGTAATGACCGAGGGTGCACCTGACGTTAGGGTGCACCTTGGAGGTCCCTTCCCTGTCCTTGGCAATAGCCCTTTCCAGCGGTGCCTTCCCATGCTGGTGCTGCTGCTTTGGTTTAGGACTCAGGGGCTGTCTCTTCCGTTCGTGTTAGGTACCAGCAGCTGGAGGAGGCCTCTGCCAGCCTCCGGGAACGGATCAGACATCTAGATGACATGGTGCATTGCCAGCAGAAGAAAGTCAAGCAGATGGTGGAGGAGGTAAGCCCTTGTCAGAGGTCATGGGCCGGGAGCGCTTCCTGCGGCAGGGACATTTCAGCCCTAGAGCCAGACCTGACTCTCAGCTCAGTTCTCTGTGGCCTCACAGTGGACTTGCTCAGATCACTGCCGTCCTGGCCCCGAGGGAAATTTCCTCCTACGTCCCCGTGGTGATTATTCCTTTAAAAGAGGGCCTTCTCCAGATTAAAGGGTTGCAGTTCATAGGCTGTGAGGTGCAGCACATAGCTCCCCGCTCTCAGAGGCCAGTGAGAGCCTTCGCCCTGTGGTGTCTGCAGCCCGGGGAGCAGGAGGAAGTTCGGAAGGAAGGTTTAGTTCAGCTAGATCTCCGCACTCCCCCTCCTGCTGCTGCGTGTCCTTTCTTCGTTTCTGGTGTGTGTCTCTCACTCCCCTTTCCTGTCTGTTCCTGCCTCTTCTCCTACTCCTGTTTCTTCCTCATCTTTTCACATTTCCACCATCCTTTCTTCCTTAACTGTCTGTGCTGTGTAGTGGGAACCACACTGTAGGCTCACTGTAAGCCGGGCATAGTTTACCGCCCGATTTTCTATATGAGAAAACAGGTGAGTTGAGTATTTATATTTCTCTAAGAGGAAAAAGTATTTTAACCTGTGCTGTTATAATCTCTCTCTTTCTTGTGGTGATTGCTCCACAGAAGAAAGTTTACTCTGTGATAAAGCTGATAACATGTTATCGTCATTTTTCTTGCTCAATTAAAAAATTAGACAGGCCCTGGCCGGTTTGGCTCAGCGGTTAGAGCGTCGGCCTGCGGTCCAGAGAGGCCCGGGTTCGGTTACCGCTAAGGGCACGTACCTCGGTTGCAGTTTGTCCCCGGCCCTGGTTGGGTTGGGTTGTGTGGGTGGCAACCACTCGATGTGTCCCTTCTCGTCGATGTTTCTCTCTCTCTTCCTCCCACTCTATCTGAACAGAAAATGGAAAAATGTCCTCAGATGAGGATATAAAAAAAAAAAAAATCAGACAGAAAACAAAAGCAGTTAGTACTAACAGGGTTATAAGAATTCCCTAGGGTCTAATTCTCTAACTTGCAAAGAAAATAAAGGGATTCAGTTTAATTAAACATTTGGTTTGCAGTGCAGAAACTGAAAAAAATTTTTTCTTTTATAAAGCACTGCTCTAAAAAGTTGTCTTTTTTAAATGAATTACTAAAATTAAAATACCTACTTCTAATGAATAATGTATACATGACACAAATGGAAGATTAAAAGTGTATCTCTTTTATTAATCTGTAAACTGGGGGAGAGATCAGTGGAGTGGGTTAAAGTCAGGGAATTGTGAGGATGGGGAGGGGCACTTTTTCTCTTCTTGTGTGTAGGATAAACATGCCCATTAATAAAATCTGCTTCCTAAACAAGGGATGCAGTCACATCGTGTTGAACCCCATGAGTATTATATGGGCTCCTGTGCAAGCCCCGGGAGCCGCGGAATAAAGGAAAGGGCAGCAGAGGTTCAGATGAAGCGCCATGCACACGCCCTCATGGTCCCTTTGCACACCTGTACAGGGGCCCTGCCAGCCCAGTGTCAACACCTCGTCAGTGTCAGGAGTGTGTTTCCCAAGGAAAAGCGTCCTGCTGTCACAGTTAGCATCCGGGGAACCACGGCTGTCAGAGCATAGCTTTTCTGTTTCTGACTTGCACACACATGAAGTCTAGGGCAGGGCTATTGTCATTTCCCACCTGTAGCTCCTGACTGCGGAACTCTGCATTTCCCCCACCTCACCACAGGGTGGCGGTCTGTATTGTTTTTGTATCTAAGATTACAGAACCAGTGACCAAAACCACAGCATGGTTGGCTTCTGATTTAGCTATTATCTGTAATGTTTACAGTTGGTACCAAAATCAAGAGAGACTTTTTTACAAGACATTTGCAAAGAAGTGTAGGATTTTCTGTTTTCTAATTTACTTCCGGAATGTAATGGACCTACCAAATTGGAGGGAGTGGGGGAATATCTGTATGTGAAAATAAGGAAACATATAAAGCTCACTGTCCACGCCTTGCCTTTCTACCTGTGATTGAATGTCTCCCAAATAAGCTTATTTAAGTCCTGATGATGTGTTCTGGAAGAGGCAGGCATTGGAATGAGATCACAGGCTGAAATTTAGGATGGCACCGTCGGAGGGAGGCTTGCTGGGTTTCAGCAGTGGATGGAGACTTACACAGAGAGAGAAAAAGGATTTTTATTCTAAATTGAAACCTCTAAGTCAGGTAGTAAGAATCAATGTGTTTGTCCAATACACTATGTTACCTTATACAGTGAAAGGATGGCTTAAAATCTTAATTGCTGAAGCCATTTATGTGAATACTTTGAATACTTTTTTTTTTTAGTTAGAAACATGGAAAAAGGGATATTGACAAATGAGCACATTTAGAAGAGAAGGATCAGGTGGGAAAGGAGTTGAGAACTCTGGTAACGCAGCGGATGGGTGAAGGCCTTGGGGAGGACATGGCCAAGGAGAGACGAGAGCTGAATCACCGCTTAGACGAGAGAGGGAACACATCTCGGTGTTGCGTTGCAATGCAAGGCCAGGCTGGGACCACTGGGTGGCACTTGCGAAAAGGCAAATGTCAGCTCTTGGTTCAACATAAGGAAAACATTTCTAATATCGGCCGCCCTGGGAAGGGACCCTTCACCACGGGCGCCTTCCTTACGCGATAAGAAGTTGAGATAGAAGCTCCTTATAAATAAAGAATGCTCTCTTGTTTACTAGGTTATGATCTCAGCATTATTATGACTTTGCACAATGACCCAAATCAGCAAAATTATAACTAAATCACTTCAAGGTATTTGGACCAAATTTTAAAAAACCCAGACTACTGAATTACTTACTTGTGGAATCCTGAACTCTGACTTTAGAAGAGAAGTATGTTTTTATCCATGAACTCCCGCTACCCAGATATGAAGACACATTTGATCTGGAAACAGAGGCAGCAAGTGTCAGGGACAGTTTTCCTTCCCTCACGGGAAGTCTGGACACTGCCAGTGTGACAGCGTCATGTTCACCAATGGCGGGAAACCCGTCTCCATCCATTGCTGGTGTCATTTTAGTCTTAATGTCGATGAAGAAATGCAGCTTAGCCCTGGCCAGTTTGGCTCAGTGGTTACAGCGTCGGCCTGCGGTCCAGAGAGACCCGGGTTCGGTTCCTGCTAAGGGCATGTACTTCGGTTGCAGTTTGTCCCCGGCCCTGGTTGGGTCGTGCGGGTGGCAGCCACTCGATGTGTCCCTTTCACGTCGATGTTTCTCTCTCTCTCTTCCTCCAGCTCTAACTGAACAAAAAATGAAAACAATGTCCTTGGGTGAGGATAAAACAAACAAACAAACAAACAAACAAACGCAGCTCATTAACATGATGTCTGCTCTTTTCTGCTCCAGTCATCCAGCTATTATTGCTGAGGTTCTTGGAATCTTTAAATGCTAGGCAATTTCTTTTCTCCCACCTCGGTACAATGTAATATCTCAATAATAACAATCTGAAGAAAACATACCTGGCCTAGCTTTTGCAATCCACAGCTCAGTTATGACTGATTTTCGTTGGGTGGGACAGTATATTTCAGTAAGGACCTACACATGTAACAGAAGAGCAGAATGAGCCTTTCAGAAATAAAGGATTAATAGATATCTGATGGGATCAAGTGTATTGGAAAAAGGCAACTCAAAGAATTTTGTGTGAAGGGTGGGGCCGGATAGCCCACTGGGCCAGATCTTTGTTCCGAATTAAGTCTCCTTCTGGAGAAGATGTCAAGGACTGGCTGTCTCTTCTGTCATCCCTTCTTCTGACTGGCCCAGCTCTGACACAAATTAAACATAAAACAAGGCCCAAATGTGCTCCTTTAGACTTTCAGGGGTTTGCCAGAAAATACAGAGGCATGGAACAAAACGGCGCTTGGGAAATTCACTCACCCATCCACTCACCAGCCACCATCCTCCCAGCACTCTCCATAGGGGCTGGTGCACAGCGGGGGGCAGCGCGGGTGTGGTCCGGGTACTCCCCCTGTAACCAGTAACCCTCCTGCTTGGGTTTCCTGCTTCTGTTGAAAACCCTCTGGGAGCAGGTCCTTGGCCTCAGTCATGCCACATTCTTGAGCTTGCCCTCAGCAGAACCAGGGGCTCAGGGAGGAACCTGAGGCCAGAGCCGCGAGCACCTTGACACACCTTTGAGTGTTATCTCTCCAGCCAGCAGGGTCGCTCACACCCCTGGACCTGCTCTCACCAGGGCCCGGCCCCCTGCCAACCAAAGCGGCTTTTCTGCCAAGGGCAAAACCAGCTGGAAGAAACAAAAAATCTTATTTGCCCTCAAAAAGGGAGGACTTACATTTTTGCCAGTGGGCAATGATATTATGCAGCTGAATAAATAGTCATTTAATAAGCGTTCCTATGCTTTTAGGCCTCAGCCATAGACATCCTTTGTCTTATCACTTCCTCCGTCTGGTTTCCACTGCGCTGGTGATGGGTGAAAGGTTTCTCTCAATGGGAAGTGTCTGAAGGGGTTTCCTCTCGGTTCTGGAGGAGGCATTATTTTTTTAGAATTTTCTTTTGTGGAAAGCATTTGCACCCCCCACCCCTTCCGTATTTAGATGTTCCGTCAGCGCAAAGGTGCAAGGGGCTGATTTTCTTGTGAGCGCTTCTCCGTGCAGGTGGCACCGTGGGGTCACTGGGAAGATTTAAAATCCCAGAACCCAGCAGAAGGGAGTGAGGAGGGAGGGACTGGGTCTTGGGGTATTTTTTGATTGTTTTTTTAAAGCTCCACAAGATGACAGTGTGCGGCCAGGACTGCAAACCCATGTTCTGGATTCTTAGTGGTGTGTGTTTCCATGCTGGGTTGTCAGGTCGTGAGTGTACTTAGCCAGCCTCCCGCAGAAGTTGCCGTGCCTGAGGGGGAAAGCTGGCAGGACCTTGGGGTAGGAAGGGCCAAGGGAAGAAAGCAAGGGGGACCAGGTGCACTGAAGCAGGAGGCTGGTCCGATGTGTGACC